GGTCAAAAAAACCCTGCCGTTTTCGAAATTAATATTTAAATGAATAAAATATTATTCTTTGGCGGGGACTGCCAAATCCATGGGGTGGGAGTTTTATAACTCCCCCAGTTTTGATTATTTTCGAAATCTGTCTTGGGGAACTGTTCCTTTTAGCAAAAGAAACACTTTGCCAAGACAGATAAGAAATCGAGGCACTTTTGGCCCGGCTATATCCGATTCTTCTGGTTGTTTTTTTTTAGTGGTGACTAAGTGAACCGCACCATAAATGGAGCCCGTCAACTTATATGAAATTACCTTGCTTGCAAGGTCTCTCCCACCCCGGTAATTGTGGCTGAGCGACTTTTTCGCACACAAAGCCAAACAGTTTGCGTAAGCTTTTATCACATTTCTGTGGCACCCCTCACTCAATGCAATCGCGTACTTGATTACCATCATCAGGACGGAGCAATTTCTATTTGCCCTGGATATACAGTTTTTGTACATGCCCAGCATGTTTCGCAAAAGTATGCTCGATATCTGCGCAACGCGCTCAGGCCTGAAGGGCTATCGACGCCACGATGAATCAAGCCGATGCTTCTCCTGAGGCCTACGTACGCTTCGAGGCGCTGCTGCGGTCAGCGAAGCAAGAAACCTGACATCAGTGGCCATCGGAACGTGGATGTATTGTGCAGATTTAAAGGCTGCCTCTAATACGAGTTGAATACGAGTTTGCGAGCCAAGAAGAACCATCTGTGGCGCGACTCTTGCGTGACCATCCAGAAGTAATTTCCGGTACTGAATACTCTGCAGTATCGCTAACAAAGCTGCTACTGCAAATAAAGTGCACAGAAATATTGAGCATTGGTAGATATGCCATTGTCAGAAGAGGTCTCTCAAGCAAGGTCAGTGCCACAGCATGTGGAGCTTCCCTAGTTCAACTCGGACCTCATTCACATCTGGCTTGCTTGTAAGTACTGACTGACTTGACCTACTATGATAGTAATCGAATGCTGGACGTTGAATATCTCTTTCTGCTCCAATATACTCAAGCCGAGGACGCAAAAAAGGCTTCAACGACGAAAGTTCGGACTCGAGTCTAACTCAAGTGACTTACGAAGTAAGCTAGTATACTTATACTACACCACCCAGAATCCCATTTCGCGGGACTGACTCAACTTCCGGTACATCTTGTTTCAGGACTCCATCGTAGTGAGCATGACTTCCAGACGAGACAAGGCTACTGCCACCCCTTCCAAAGGTAGCGTTGGGGATGGCCCGGCCTGGCGCCGCCCCGTCACTGATGAAGTTCACACCAGCGTGATCGCGGACGTCGTCGCCTCATTTACTTCTTCCCTCGCCGATCCCGCACACCCCACTACATGTGGCAAGCACATCAATGGCTGTCTTATTTCGTTGAAGAATTACGTCGGAGGCGCTGCCATCTTCACAGAACTTCGAACCAATCATCACCAGTTCTATGCCACGTGCATGTCGTTCCTTTCCTGTCCGCCCAACAGTGACAGGGTCGCAGAGGAGCGGCAACGGAAACTCCAAACCTGCAATTGCAACCTGGCAGACGACGAACTTTCTCAAGTTCTTCATACTCAGGGCAACGGCCAATTCCCCGACTTGATGACTGTTTTCTCCAACATTTGCATGTTCGTGCATGCCGCCTTGGGAGTGGCTAAGGCTGAAGGAAACGTTCACAAGGTGGAGATGAATCAGAGAAAAGCTCTTGAAAAAGGGCTGAAGGCTCCTCTCTGGCCCGTCGAACCCCTTGATCTGTTTCCCCTGGGACCAGATCGTACTAGTCAGGCCTTGGAGAAATGGATCAGACGCTACCCGCTCCCTCCGCTGCTCGGGCTCCTTGGCTCCTACCTCGAGATCACCAAACAGGCTTTCCTCCCTCACTTCATTTCCTCTTCTTTTTTTCCCGGGTTCTTCGTTGACGCGATAAAGAACGATATCTACGAGAAATGGAAGCAGCTAAAGGACGTCGACGGGTCATATTGCGCAGAGAGTCTCGCCTACCTCAAAGATGCAGCTTTGGTCCCTCGTCAACTCATGAATCTCTGTACAGAGGGGCAGATTGCCCAGTTGGCTCGAAAAGCCGAAGCTCAAGCAGGTTCTATCGTCGAGCTCTGCGGCTTCGTCCACGAATGGTTGCCGAAACTGATCCTTTCGATGATCTCGCCCGAAGCCATCTCGACGTACAGGGCCGTCAACATTATGAATTCGGAGACGACACAAAGCGACATGCGTTACATAGCGACTATCTTCCTTGAGTTCGGGGCGTTGACTCATGCCCGTCTTGGTTTACCGGGGATACATCGAAATATCATCCCGATATTGTCGCCATGTCGAAACTTGGTTTAGAGCAGGAGAAGGATCCGAAGGGCACGGCATTTCAGACGTTCATGAGTTTTTACCACGACCAGCGGTGTTATGCTCCCGGTTGTGAAGAGACGTACGCGGAGGCGGGCAGAAAGTTCGCGTCGTGCTCTGGGTGCAGTCGGGTCCCATATTGCTCCAAGTCATGTTTGGTACGAGTGTTCATTCATCCTACCTCATAGCGAGTATCTTCGGAAGCGAACTGATATCTTCCCTGCGGGTGACAAAATTTATAGGCAGCGGCGTGGAAGCATCCCCGTATTCCTCACAAAGCGGTGTGCAAATTGATTCGTGAGCTGGCCGACAAGAGTGGTATTCCGGCCCACCCTGTTATGGAGAATCGAGATGCTTTCGTCAAAGCCATCAAAGGCGACGAATACAATGAGCTCGTTGTCGCGGTATCCCGCCATTTTCAAGTCTTGCGCAAGGAGCTGTCGAAGGCTGGTGAGTATATATATTTTTACTCTCATGGAAGACATCGGCATCAGGACTGATGCATTTCTTACATGCGCAGAACCATAATGTCTCCGCCACGGAAGGTATCTGATCCAAAAAATGGAATGAACGTCAAGTGCGTTTCTTCCCTGTGGTTGCACACTTTGAGGTGTTGCAGTAAGTCTACCTCATATTTAGAATTCATTCCTTTTCTATGTAGATATGTACTCAATTGGCTTGCGCCATAGCGTTGTGAAGGTCACAGTCGTGATTATCTGGTTTCGTCTCTGTTTGTGGTCTCGTATTCTCTATGTTGCTGCTCTTTATCTTGCTTTCGTAGCATAACCCGCAACTTTCTTGTCACCTCAATAAACCTGCGTAATCTCACAGAGTATGCCGGTATAATTCTTTTTCTGAAGAGACCTGGAATTTCTACGTGGCTTGTGCGTGGCCGCGGTACGGTCGGTTATGAGTGAGTACCGGCACTCACCCATTGCGTGCTGGTTCAAACTCCGCTGTGCCGCGTCTCGCTTACTCCCGTAGCCGAGTGGCTGCAGGCTGTCACTTACGAACATTGCAACACAACAAAGGCAGCAGTGTGCATAGTGAAACTTAACATAGCTATGCCTAAATTCATCTAAAATACTTCTCTTTAATTTGGTCGCGACAGAATTTTCTAATTTCGTCGTGAACGAGCTACACAACGAACCATACGCTCATATCAAATCACTGGAGGAGAGTGAAAAAATTCCGTCGCGACCAAACGAAGTGAATGTATGTCAAATAATATACTAGAATTTATAGGATTTACTGGTGGGGTGTACCTTGCCCTAGACGCGCAAGGTCTCGTACATAGGTGCCACCCAGCCAAATCGGTGAGTCTTACTGTGGCCCGCGTCGAAATGGGGTGCGGCTTGCCCGGCAGCTTTCAAAGTCCGCCAATTTGCAATGGACATGGCGCTTGGTGGGAACGCCGGTACTCATTATGAGCGATGGAGTAATTATACTCCAGCTCCTCACCAGGAGCTTGAAACATTTCAAGAAGTTTCTCCTGGTAGATTGACAAGATAACCGTCTTTGTCTATACTGGTTTCTGTGGAGAGGTCGTCGCCACGCTTGACTGCGCCACTGGTGTGCTCAAGACTTCTCGGAAGATGCCGTTTTCAAGATCGCACGGTGTTGTTGTGGCGCTAGTATACCAAGGCAGACGCCCTTCAAGAGTTGCGGGTTGCTTCGGTACAGATACCAGTCAGGAGGTCAGTTTATCGCTTTACTTTCAGTTTAGTCAAGATTCACCGACCATCCGCACCAGAACTTCAGGTGAGACACAGGTCGGAAGTCCCAGCATTCGGCTCGACGCAGACCACAGTGGAAGATTCATGTGAACCAAGTCCCGCAGGGTGTGTACATATTGGCTCGCTCCGCCTTCATTATCAACACTGACAACGGTTTATAGAAACCCTTGTGAAGCTCAGAGGAATGTCTTCCAGGCGTAGGACCACTCGCACCAGCGTTAACTTAGATGCCGGGGCCAATACGCCAGACACTTCGAGCGTAGTGTCCTCCTTCGTCTCGTCTCTTTCCGACCCTACGAATCCCACCACTTGTAGCAAGCACCTTGTTGGGTCTTACGAAGACTGGGAATTCTCCTCGTTCAGCTCGTGACATTCGCTCCAATCATCACGAGTTGTATGCTACATGCATGTCCTTCCTCGTCAATCCCCCACCGACGAGACCATGAAGACATTACAGCGGAGGTTGCAAACTTGCACGTGCGACATCGCCAACAACGAAACTATTCGCTTCGTACATCTCTCAGCAGACGCTCCCTTCCCAGGTTTAAATACCCTCTTCCTCGATATTGCTATGCTCGTGACTCTCGCCTTGCAGCCTGCAAAGAGAGACGGTAATCTTCGCAAGGTCGAGTCGAACGAACGGAAGGCGATCGAGAAGGGCTTGCAGGCACCCCCTTGGCCCGCTGAACCTCGCAATATTTTCCCGTTGGGGCCGGAACGCACCATTCGAGCACTAGAGCAATGGATCATACGCTACTCATTCCCTCAAGTGCTCGGACTTCTCGGGTCTTACCTTGAGATTTCAAAATACGTCTTTTTGCCTCACTTCATTGCCTCACCCTTTTTCCCCGGCTTCTTCATTGCCTCCACGAGGAAGGTTCTCTTCCCGATGTGGCAACACGCCAAGGACTACGACAGGCCACGCTGCGCTGAAAGTCTCGCCATGCTCAAAAGCGCAACACTCATACCTTTGATGTTGGTCAACCTCTGCACCAAGGACCAACTCGTACAGTTTATTCAACAAGCCGAAGCTCAAGAGGGCTCAGTAATCGACTTCTGCGGTTTCGTTCTCGACTGGCTCCCCGAACTGTACTTGTCCATCTCGCCACACTCATCGTACGACGTCTACATAGAAGGCCGAGGCCACACGATAGAGTCCGACGTCAACTACATCTCGACTTATTTCGTCTTGTTTGGCGCATGCATTCACTCTCGATTGGGCCTGCCTGGCGATGCATCAAGATACAATTGGCGGATCCTAGAATTTTCGAAGCAGATAAAGGAGGCGGAGAGTGATCCCAAGTGTCTATGGTGCGGTTCACTTAGTCACCACCAAAAATATACAACTGCCAAATTGGTCGGTCCAAAATCGAAAATCTAATTTATTGAAAGAAAATTCCTGGGCCGGTCAAAAAAAACCCTGCCGTTTTCGAAAATTAATATTTAAATGAATAAAATATTATTCTTTGGCGGGGACTGCCAAATCCATGGGGTGGGAGTTTTATAACTCCCCCAGTTTTGATTATTTTCGAAATCTGTCTTGGGGAACTGTTCCTTTTAGCAAAAGAAACACTTTGCCAAGACAGATAAGAAATCGAGGCACTTTTGGCCCGGCTATATCCGATTCTTCTGGTTGTTTTTTTTAGTGGTGACTAAGT